ATGTTCATATTCGAAGTATTCATAACGTTAAAGAATAGAAGTTAAAAAAAGAAAAAACTAGCACTGTCATTACTTCGCAGCATCTTGAAACTCCATCAATCGCAGCATCTCTATATTTTTAGAATTTAAAGAACTAAAGCACAATATTTTTGCAAAGAACAAATTGTTTTTGACAGAATACTAATAAAGTGACAAAAACATTTTTAAAAATATTGTCTATTGAAATACTACTTACTCGCAGCTTACTGGTCCTTAATTTGAAATGTAAATGTATTGATATGATAGAAGATTTATCTGTCGCAGCTATATCAAAATAATCTATAGATAGAGCTAAAGTAAGTAAACTGTGCTATATAACTGATACTACTACTACATTAATAATATCCTTATACCAAGAAAAAATGGAACACTCTTTGTTTACGCATTATAAAATAACATTACATCATTCCTAAGGTATTATTATTAGATAGACCTGTTAGACGGTGTCGCTTTTATTGCAATCCAGCCGAAGTTATTCGAGATATGAGGAAGTATTGGAGTCTGAGCCGACGGGGACGATAGGAATGAACGGTTGATGAGGAGAAAGGTGGAGGGCCGAGCTATGCGGAGAAAGAAACGGCGAGTAAGAGACAACCGCGAAAAAGTCTGGCAAGTGGAATGTCGGTTAATTTGTAGCCAGGTCTAGTCCATGCCATAATCTGCGCATGTATCATACTCTTTCATTATACATGTCGAGACACACCGATCAGTGTATCGCGTGCATGCGCACTATAGAGCACATATTATTAATTATCATTGTATCAAAAACGAATATAGTCTTTATACACTATTATATGATATCAGGTTGCCAACACATTTATCGACAAAAGTCGAAGAATAATCGATTAGCCGTGAATACGCAATTAGTTTTATATTTGACGAAGCTGCGAAACGTAAATCGGTAACGCAATTATTAATAAAATATCGAGGATTCTTCTATTGAAGAATTTTAATTTTTAAATTTATGCTATATTTATGTATCTTATAATATATTTGTTACAAAAGAATATTATATTTTTGTATTATTTCAAAATAAAAGTTTTTCGTAAAGATACGTATATATTAATAATATATCAAAAATATTGCACTAGATTATCATAAATTTGATGTATTCTATAGATATGATTATAAATTATATTAGTATTTTAAGCATTTTAATAAAAAATATGGATATTTTATAAATAATAACTTTTCATTCGTCGACCGTCGGATCGATCGTTAATAGATCAAATAAATAAATAATACCGACTATACAATGGTCTATTTATTTGGCACACAGGGAGATAAAAACAGAAATCAATGTTTGCGCATTCCACTATGCACTTATGTGACCAAGTCATCAAGCGAAAGCTGCAACAAGCTTTTACCGTACTGGTATTCAGAATACCGGTACACAAGTCGTGTCTTAGCTATGGCAAGTATTTATTACTAGACACCGAGAATATGTTACAACGTTCGCGTATTTCGTTACATCAACGCTGTTTTTCCAGAAAACCGCGGAATGTATGAGATCTTCAAGACGTGATGTGAAAATAGAAAATGCTTAAAAGCGTTTATTTGATTACGTGAGTAGATACGCAAGAGAAATAATTGCATCGCGCTTTTCCATATTTTACTCTCTAAATTATTATATATTTACGTTTTCACACAACCTTAATCTTGATAGAAGAATAAAAATCTATTGAGGACACAAAACAGGAATACCAACCGGATGGTACTCACAATCCTGTAATACTTTATCGTCCAGATAAAACTATTCTACGTAAAACCGAAGGAGAACTTCCTTCTTGCCCGACACTCTCGTATAAGTAGGCGATTCAAGTGCCGCTCCGTGGCAGAGAGCCACGAAACGTGAAACAGAGCACAAAAAGAACAATCCACGAGGTGGATGAGAAGGGCACGTAAGGAAGCCGAGTTTACGAGATGATTGTCCTACAGACCCTATTCATTCAACATGGAATCTCCAGGTGGATCTCTATTGTAGATTATTGCGCCATTGTCCATTGTCGCAATCCGCCACAACTGATCTTCTTAGAGCTCTTTGACATAAGTGGAAAAAAATTCGAAAAGAATTAAAAAAAGATAGTAGCATTAGATTAAGATATTCGAAATAATCAAGATTATATAAAAATGCCATTCTTCATTAATTCAATAATATACAATTAATTTAACGTGTTATTATTTCAATTTTTAAGTTCAAATTAATGCTTTGTATGGTTAGATATATTTTAATATTATAAACAATTTTAAAGCAGCAAAAAGTAGCCAAAAATTTTGGTACGTCTACTTTTTTTCTTTGCAATTTTATACATATTTTTCAGAAATGAGAGTGCTAGCGTAATATAAAGTCAATTCCCTCTCCTTTTATATTAATTTCTTGCAAATAAATGGAAGCAATAAATTCGTGACTAGAGAAAATTAGAACTAAATTAGCACTTAATATTATAGCACATAGTCAAACTTTTTTTTAATGTGACAGTGCTACGTTCATAGAGGTTCCTTAATATCATGTCTCAATTTCAATTATTTTCCAATTTGAGGGCAAAGTCGGCGGGGATGTAAAAATTAACGACAATTAGCGACAATTAGCGGTCTCATGTGCCTCCCACGTTGGGCGTTCAAGTGAAGAAAGTGCAGCTTGCACGCAACGCAAGCGCGGGCAAGGAAGTTTTACGTCTTGCAGGACAAACATCGATGGAAATCGAATGATGCAGAACAGGCACCTGCGTGGGTACAGGCAATTACGTATGAATAACTTCGACGAAAAAGTAACCGATGCGATCGCAACACCGACTCTGATCTTATCGGGCATGGTGTCGCGCGTATTGCCGAAGGTCCTAAGCCCAGTATGACGGTGCAATTATCAATAATTGAGAAATTTTTTTTCGAGTGTAATTCAATATAACGAGCCGGCGCGCTCATTAATTTGATATTATACGCACTGTACCCGAACATTCCCGTTATTATATTGCGGTAAGATACCATTAACCTCTTTTCGCGATACGCAATTTATGTTTTTTTCTTCTCTCTCTTTTTCTTTTTAGTTGCGATGCTCCGCGAATTTCGAAGACAAGTGTAATTCGGGCCACATGCGTGGTTTCAAGCTAATGCCCAGGAACGCATGAATCATCAAATGTGCACTCTCACTTTAATTACACAAATTAATTAAACAAATATCAATTAATATATCTATATATAAAGATTATTAACAGTAACATATACTTATATGATATACACATATGTCATCGGATTAAAATAATGTACGAATATTAAAAGTCTTGAGTAATTGCTGACCAAATTTGATTTTTATCGATTTCAATTAAATTTAAGTATTCATAATTCTTAATTTCTTGGAAATCATTTAAAATTATGAATATATATAAAAAAATTCATATGTAACTTCAATTTTTAAGATACTTTTACTTTTGATACAGATGTATCATTAATATATGTGTATGTGTAATGAAATTAATGTATATAAGTAATAGCATTATTGCGTAAATAGTGTAAATAATAATGTATTATTAGTGTAATTTTTAGTTCATATTTTAACTTGAATAAAATTTTGTTATAATTTAGATTATTCTCAAAATAACAGAATATTAATCCTTGTCTTTAAAAGAATAAAACGAGTAGTAAAAATAAATTTTACTTCACAGTCTACTGCTCCCTTATTATTCTAAAGACGTAAACAAATTAAGATCCTATCGTATACGAATAATCAAATTATTATAAAATTTTCTCAGTCTACTGCTCCCTTATTGTTCTAAAGACGTAAACAAATTAAGATACTATCGTATACGAATAATCAAATTATTATAAAATTTTCTCATTAAAAAATTTTAATTTCAGCTTAAGTTTGATATCTTTGATGATTAAATATCTCGTCTTTCTCTAAATAAATGAAGTATCGATTATTATAATTAATATCATAAAAACTGAAATATTAAGCTACCAAAAGCTAGTAAGTAGTAGCTAATAGAAATCAATAAAGACTTAAGTAAAGGAGGATCGTGACATAATCCGCATGTTTCACTTACGTTTTGCGCGGACATATATCCCCACGGTAATTCGAGAAACATAACTCAAGTCCTGACGGACTGCTGAATCATGAGTTTCTCGCGGCCATATACCGCCGCGACGTGTCGGCTTCTCTTTTGCTACTTTAGTTTAGTCTTTTTCCTCCCCGCCCGTTTATTCTCTCGACTCGTCAACCCTACGGCTGTCTATACTCTTAATTCTTTCCCGAGTATGTGTGTGATGACTTTTCTCTGCCGCGCGCATATTATCTTTTAGTCGTGTGAAATGACCTTTGCGAAGAGATTATATCACTGTGTCGGGAAGTGTCACGATAATTGGACTTCACAATGTTCGGTTTCTTCACTAAACAATAGCACGACCGATAATTAAATTTTCAGTAACTTAATTTACTAAAAACATAAGAAATTGAAATGAGATCTGCGCAGAGAAAATAGAAAATTTAAAATAGATCGATTCATTCGATATTTTCTCACTAAAATGCACAAAATTATTGACAAATTTTTATATTTTATATATCTAATAATCAAATATTGTTTTAATATTATGTTATTTTCATCTATATTGTATGTTCTACGTCAGGTTCGTTCAATTCCAAGGGAGATTAATTGTATTAAATTTAAGAACTCAACATTAATACAAGTAATATCTTCATTCGCAATAATTCACGTTATTTTAGATATTATCAAATTGATATTGATCGATTTGAAAATATTGGTCAAGCTTCTGGCAAATAAATGGAGCAGTAAAACAATAAGTAACCTCATACAAGTTACAGAAATTGTTTTGATAATTAATTAAACGAGACGATCTCTCGCAAATCGAGAGCACTAATGTGGAAATCGAGAGAACGAGAGCCAAATGCTGACGCCTTAAATGAGTAATTCATGAATTACAGGAGATTATATCGATTATACACTTACCTTATCAAGCCGGATTCCTTCTGCTTGCCGATCAGGAACGTCAGTACACCGTCGGTCATCTGATTCGCCCACGGTGGTTTCACCCAAATCAAGTTCTTGAGATGACCCGCATACACTGCAGGCAGAATCCAATTCTCGATGCTGATCTCGCTGAAAAAGTATAAAGAATAAAATGCCTATTATAGATAATCATTCGCTTATAAAATTCGTTCATAGATTTAATACTCAATATTGAAAACTCAATATTAAAAATCAATAGTGTCAATACGAAAGTTTGTAAAATAAGAAATTCGCTTGCTCTTGCGTTTATACAATTTTTTCGACATCAATAAAATGTAATGCGACTAGTACTTTTCTTTCTACATTCAGTATTTTACTTTTAGATATGCACATAAAACGTAATGATGCGAAAAGATTTTCTCGCATATCGTGTTACTTCGGTGACATACATATTTACCCATACGTTTTTATAAAATTATTATATAAATAATAATTATTATTTTACATATATTAGTACATTTATTATATAAATTATTATATAAATAATAATAATAATTATTTTATTTATATATTAGTACATTTATTTAATTATTGTATCAATTGAGTCAAAAATTGATGTCGTTCAATTATTATAAAAAATATATTGAACCTGATATATTTGATAATAATATTTATATATTGTAAAGAAATAAAAAATATATTCAACGTTGGTAGCACTGAATGCGAAACTCTTCGAAATTGAGATAGTAGTATATATATCTTTGATAAACAATTTTATATTTCGGATATTGATGCATTGCATATAATTTTTTTCAAGCCTCACAATTTGATTCACGTACTAAAAGATCATATTCGATGATGTTTTAATGAAGAATACAAATGGCTTGTACGTCATACGAGACTTACAAATATGATTGTTACATTATATACCTAAACAGTTGATTCTTGTCCCACACCGTGTCGGCCGGCATCTCCTTCGGTATCAGCATATCGGGATGCGAATCCAGATGTACGAAGGTGTTACCTTCGAACGGCAGATGCTTCGATCCCATGCATCGATATATGAACGGTAAGACCTGAGAATATCATAAACCCGACATGTTTATTAAGTATTCGTTCGAAAATTGAATCTCGCGTTCGCGTCGCACGCAAAAGTTCACGAACTCGACCGGTGCGCGGACTGGCGTCAAGATCTCGAACTTAAACTTCGAGATTGATTAGAAACTTGAAATTACAGAGCTTAGCCCAGCTTAGCCGGCAATTCTCGACACTCGACTCGCTGAGCTTCGATCTTCATTCCAACTTCAAGCAATCATAAGATCGACCATTTTAAGTCAATCGATTTCGTTATAACGTTATGCATTAACATGTATACTGACAATATATAATTCATTTACGTTAAATTTACAATAAATATTTGTTTATAAAGAAATATAAATTTCAGTGCCGCCGGGATTTATTAAATCTAAATCTTACAAGACATTAAAAATAATTACAATTAATCTTATTCTTCATGATTTTGAATTTCTCCATATTTCTTTGCAAAATTTCAAACCAGCAATTATGATAATAATAATTAAATGCAATCATTAAATTTATATTAATGTATATCAAAGAATAGTTTTGGGGCTCTACAGGAAAAACACAAAATATAACCTGTAACACGTACATACGTATATGCGAAAAAATACATCGTATATGTAGGAGACCGAGTATACCTTTTATTTATGTAGTTTGTGTAGTTTCTGGGATTTATTAAATCTAAATCTTACAAGACATTAAAAATAATTACAATTAATCTTATTCTTCACGATCTTGAATTTCTCCATATTTCTTTGCAAAATTTCAAACCAGTAATTATGATAATAATAATTAAATGCAATCATTAAATTTATATTAATGTATATCAAAGAATAGTTTTGAGGCTCTACAGGAAAAACACAAATATAACCTGTAACACGTGCATATACATACGTATACGCGAAAAAATACATCGTATATGTAGGAGACCGAGTATATACCTTTTATTTATGTAGTTTGTGTAGTCTCTACATAGTCTTAACCTCTCAACAGACTTACATTTGAGCATGTATATACAATATACGTGTCATTTAAAATTATGTATATCTACTAGCGTGTAAACATAGCGATTTCGTGACTTTCGCGAGACGCGCCGAACGTGCGCCGCGTCACTATAACGATAACGGCGCCGGGCGCGACATCTAGCGGCGCCGTACGCGCAGCAACACGCCGCGTCGTGCGTCGTAACGAACGCGAGAACGGCGTTCGAATTTACTTCGAATATACCCACCTCATCGTGGTCCTCGACCACGTAGACCGGCGTCCTCTTGAAGTGCTTGCGCGTGCACGACATGTCTCGCGTGCGCGGAATACGCGGATTCGGACCCACGGACTGTCGACGGAGACACGACGATCGCTGGACCGACGGGACGGGCGCGTTAAACGATCGATTTTTCAATTATAACGCCACGACGACGAAATAGTACGCGGGGGGGACACACTGGGAATCGCGGCGGCGGGACGCGGCGCACTGCTTCGCGCGGAAGCACGTGGTCACTGACTGAAGTTTGTGCTCTTAGGCGCGCACCTCAAACACGGATCATTTCGCGAATAAAGGGACGCAGGGGCACCAGACAGGGGTTTACATCGAATTTCTCACGAGACGAGTTTCGTAAGGTGGTTCCCCTTTTTTCTCTTGCTCTCCTAGCCCGGACTCCCCACATCCTCCCCCCCCTCTCCCCTTCCCCCTAAGGATGAGGACGCCTTAGAAACCTGATCCCTCTAACATAGCCGGCGAGCGTGGCGAACGAAAATCGTAGAATATTTATTTAATAACTTAGCGTGAATTTATCCAGGAGTATAAAAACGCACACGTCGAATGGTGTTTAACGACTCACTGCTGATGAATAAATATATATCTGCATGTTATTATTAACATTAGAATAAATATTATTATGTACCTATACATCCCTCTTTATTAGTAACTTTATTCTTAGTAAAATTTAACACATATATATGTCTTTGTATTTTATTTTACTTATTTTTATTTTCGTTAAAAAAATGAGGTTTATTAAAATCAGATGTTTATTTTACTGAAAGTAAAACTAGACATTTTCCATTGGTAATGTGTGCACTTGGACAATTCTAAACATCCTATAGATAAAAAAAAACATTTACATTTACAAGAGGTAAAAAAATAAACTTATTAATTGCTCACATGCAAAATAACATATGATTTGTATCGCACGCATACGATATTTACATGTATATTAATGGACGTTTTTATAAAGATGACTGATTACATGGACATAAAGTATTCTTACTGCTGACAATTCCGACAATATTCGATCGATCGGGACTATACGAGACCCGATCGCAAAAGATCAATGCAATTGCATAACCGCAGGTAGCGTCGAATATCGGTAGGGAAAAGGTTACCCCCGGCACACAGTTCACGCCGGTCTCGCCGATGCGTGTTAAGTACCAGCGATGCGTGACCTTTCGCTATCGATCGATTCACGTGTCATTTTCTTTGCCGCTGCCTGATCATAAACACATCGTGAGAAAGGATCCGACGAAAACGCGCCCGCGGTACAAATTTACGTGAACGTCAATTACGCGCATAATTGAACGGACGATACTCTCCCAATCCTGCATAATCATTGATCGTAGTACATACATAAGTCTAATTCTCCAACATTTGCGATTTGTAGATCTCCAGATGCAAACGATCGGTTTGCATTCTCAACGACGACAGGAATCTTTCAATATCCGTTTCGCATGAATAAACGTTGTTTACTAAATCGTCACCTGTTCTGTGAACCTTTGAATTTGCAGAACGCTCATTGTTGGTTTCCTGTTTGAAACATTGTGGTACGCGATTAGAGCGTGACGATTGAGCGTGTAGATGTGTACGGGAAGAATAACATGAAGGTACACGTTCATCCCACTGATCGCGATAGATTTGATTTGACGAGCGCGCTCCCTCTCTTATATCTAAATCGCAGTACAAATTAGAATCTGGGATTTGCGGATGAAAACTTTGCACCGGATTCAACGAAGGTTCACGAGTTTTCTTGGCATCCACACTCGCACGTGAATAATTTACTGTCTTTAAATATCTTGCGATTGAATCATCTACATCTACGCTATCCTTTGGATCATGTTTACGAGACCGCGCATGTTTATCGTGTTTGCCAACCGCGTCCACATTATTGTAAACAATGTTATTTGTTTGTACGGGTGTGTATGTTGGTTGCGCGATTTTAACTTTACTACGTTGAACGTTCTGCCTGCTGAATTCTTGACTACTGCTGCTACTGGTCGATGATAATTTCCGGTGGTTATTCAAAGCAATTTTATCGGTACACGTGACATCCTTATCAGACGATACAAATGACTTCTCGCTTGAAGTACTGCAAGTTTCTTCATTATTTTTACCATTCATTTGCCAAACTTCTACATTTTGATATCTTTGATTGGAGATTGTAGTGGAAACGTCATCTTTCGTACTCTGTATATCGTGTTCGTCTTGATGGGTAACTGCAGTTTCACTAGAGCAAACTTTCTGCATCTTCTTCGTCTTCGAATCTTTTCCGTTTACTGGAATTGGATTTGTTATTGGAACATCCACTTCAGGAATCTTATGATATTGAATGTCATTTTGATTTTCCAAAAGCAGCGGCTTCTCACGCATTTGATACTCCGTCAATTTATCATTTTCCAAAGAATTTTCAGATAATTGTGAATCTTCCGTTAATTTGTCATCTTTTGCATTCCTCTCTGCTGTTTCTTTAAGAAGCGCCTTCATATCTGAGAATGACAAATTTTGTTCTCTTATTTTTTGAATCAAATCACGTGTTTCAATTTCACTGAAACATGCTATATAATCTATTATTTCTAATAATTTTTCATTGGGACTTTGATAAGTTCTAAAATATTGTAATGCCTTGCGGTATTCTTCGATCTCAGAGACTGACATCATTAAATTTGGCATATGTTCATCAATATTTATAGGATAAGGAAAAAATGCGTTAAATGTAGTTCCTAATGTATAGAAACGGCTCTTGAAATCTTCTATCTCTTTGTACATATCTAACAAATTATTGTCTGAATTAGATGCTGAATATATATAAGTATCTTGCACCTCTTCATCATTACGAAGTTGTGGAAAAACGCACAAGAAAGCCCGTTTCTGCATATTAAGGAAAGTTTTGAGAACTGAAAAGTGTTCTTTATATACTAGTTTGGAAAAAGATTCGGTCATGCCTTCGTATGTATTATCCAACAAATTAATTTCAAAATCGAGTAACTCTTTCCACTCGGAAGCCACTTTCAGCAGAGATTCTTCATCATTACAAACGTTATTGTCGCTTGTTATAATTTTTGTACCGTATATTAATAGATAATTGTTTACTATTGCCCGTATGTGATCATTTTCATTATTATCCAATTTGTTTATAGGTAAACTGTGCGTAAAGTCAGGATTTTTTGAAGAATAACTATCCTGAAAAATTTGTATAAACATTTTTTCATTGTCATCGTCTTTATCGTAATTAGACGTAGAAACTGATGCAACATTTTCTTCTTTTTTGTTTTCTTCGTCAATTGAGGAATCCTTCATATATTGAACAAGGGTTTCAACCTCCGCATCTGATAATTTGCAATTCTCAGCGTCTGATAGAGCTACTTTAAATACGATATCTTTATTCAATTCTTCCATAGCAGAAGCAACATCGGAATTAGGTGTTATTGTAAACCTATATATGTTTCTTGATCCGAATGAGTTTAGAGCCGATACTTTACTTTCTTCAGAATTTTCAACTACAGATTCTGCATTTGACACTTTTTTACATTCTTTAGAAGTGTTAATCGCAGAATTAGTTTTCCCTTGAACGTAATGTTGAAATAATGAACTAATTGTTATCTTCTCATCTAAATTAGATCTTGGTTTTACATGTATATTATTGGAGACAGTTTTATGGCATTTTCCTTTTTTCGAGGACTTACGTCTTTTATGTTTTTCAGTATTTCGAGCATTATTTTTTGACGATAATGTATTTGTTGGCACGTATTTCGACGAACTACTTTCACATTCATCATATTTTGTAGGAGTGATATTACTTTCTGTTGACAGAATACTATTGTCTGCTGTACTCTTGGACGAGACATTGTTACATTCTTCATGTTTCACAATAGAAGCATTGACAACATTATTCTCTGATGATGTATCACTAACTACTGAAGGCAATACATGTCCTGACATAGATATCGTTATAGGTGCACCATTTTCAGATTCAAGAATTGTTTTATCAATGGCTGGCAACTTTGTGGAATTCGTCTCAGATTCCAAATAAATTTTTTCAAATATTGAAGTATCATTGGCCCAAACATCTTCCTTGTAATCAGAATTGAGCTTGAACAAATAAAACTTCGGTCCGCCAATTGAAGACAATAGTTTTCGGAACGATGAAAGCTCACTTTCAGAGACAAGTGTGATAGAAATTCCATAAGACCCATAGCGCCCAGCTCTGCCAATTCTATGTAAATATGTCGCCGAATCCGTAGGTATATCAAAGTTTATGACCATATTAACATTTTCTATATCTATACCCCTTGCAGTTAGATCCGTGGTCAACATAATTCTACATTCCAAATTTCTTAAATTTTCAATCGCCTCCAATCTTTTGATCATATCTTGATTTCCAGCAATATGTGACGATGAAAAACCCAATGAATTAATATTATTGCTTACTGATTGAGCTCTACGATAATAAAAACAGAATAATTAAATTAATTTAAACATAAAAAATTAAATAACAATTATAAAAATAACTACATACCGTGATTGATAATTTGAAAAAACTAGACACTGCTTAAATGGAATCTTGGTAAAAATCTTTACCAACTCGTCAACTTTCATTTGTACCTAAAAATATAAACATGAAATATTATATAGAATGTTAATAAAATAAAATCTTATCAATTCTTGTAAATAAAGAAAAAACCTGTCTCATCGCATTAGGATGTGCCGGAACTATAGCCACAAATTGTTTGATTCCAATCAAAATTGGTCCATCAATATTTGGTGATGTTAACACTGGAGAGGACATGTAAGTTTGTAAAAATGTTTCTAAATCTCCAGGATAAGTAGCGCTTGAGGCAATAATTTGTTTGCTGGATGGTAGTTTTGAAAATATGTAGCTATAGAAAAACATATTAATAAAACTTTAGTAATTTGCAAGATTAGTAATAATAAAAATTAGATACAATATGTATCTACATAGTACACATTAAAGCCAATTATACACTAATTTAAGATATAAGAGGAATAAGCATTTTGAGTGACAAAATGCTCAACACAATCATCAAATAATATGATTAAATTATCTTACTTTCAATTTCACAGTTATGCATATGCTTTTGAACACAACTGTCAACTGCTTTTAATATTAATATACTGTATGTGTACACACACGCATATATAAATTTAACTTTTAATAATAACTTATAATCTTTAAACCTAATACTAACTTGATATCTTTTTGAAAATTAATCTCCATTAATTTGTCTGCCTCATCAAGAACAAACAATCTGACTTTTGAAACTTTAAGAAATCCTTTTTCAATCAAATGTTTAATTCTGCCAGGTGCACCAACAGCTATGTGACAATTGCTCAGCTTTTTCTTATCTTCCTCTATTGATATTCCTCCCACGAAATATTCAACTCTTAAGTCTAAAATGATAAAAATAATTGACAGAGAAATAGAAACAATTCTTTGTTTTTTTTTTTTAGAAAATAGCAATATTTCACATCGACCATACCTTCCATTTTTGAACCTATTGCTTTAATAACATAGGCTATTTGAATCGCAATTTCCCTCGTAGGGGCTATTATTACAACTTGTGGTGATGGTATCGAAATGTCTAATGTTTCAAGAGCTATTACGCCAAATACTACAGTTTTTCCAGTTCCGGATTTTGCACGTATTATCAAATCTGTAAACCATAAACACTTTTAATATATAAATATCATTATTATATTTTAATTCTTTATCCATGCAGCTGTAATTATATTACCAAATCCACAACGGCCTAACGGAATGGCTTTCAACTGGATAGGAGATGGTTTTTCAAATCCAGCAGACATTAACCCATCCAGAATATCTCGTGGAAGTCTCATTTGGAAAAATGTAACATCTCCTTCTATTTTTATATCACTCGTCCTCTGCTTCTTGTTTATATCATGCGCAATATGTTGAGCCATTTTTTCCTAATAATATACATAATAAACACAATCAAATATATTGAAATATCAATTAAAATATAAACTGAATAAAGAAAAATGGCAAAACCATACACGTTTTTATAAAATGTGATATTCTATTACATCAATTCTATTACATCAATTATGAGATTAAATTCTATCAAGCAATAAATATTTATTCCTTCTTTGTTCAAATTTCTTCAGAAAATATATTAAACAACGTGTGTTCATCAAAAAATACGTTAAATACGACATAACCAACAATATTTGTTTATAACGTTTAACGTATCTACTCACCAATATGTAAATATAATAATGAAATTTATAATTATACAAGTTTTTGTAGCCGACACAAAATACAAGTATAAGCCGGTTTATTTCTTGGAGGAACGTGAACACATATCGTACCGAAAATCGCACAAGTTACGTTCAGAAAACATGATAAAGGTCGCCTTTTGGAAAATGGATCTACAAGTACACAATCCATGATGCAAGGTACCAATCATAAACGTTTGTCAGTCGATGAGGCACTATTGTGATTATTTTGTGAACTCAGTCGTAATTACTGTTTTTTACCATCAATCGTTATACAGATGTGTCATCTCCAAAAAAATTTGAAATGTGAACTTTAAACTATCACAACGGGAACGTTCAAAATTGATTTTATTGTTACAAACTGAAATATTTGATTATAAACTGAAATAAAAACCTGATTTTTGACGCAGCTGTGTGCTCTTGATGAAGCGACTCGTAGCGGTGCATTCCGTGACTGTCTGCAATTTATCTGTAGGGACTGTAGGATAAAACAGGATACGGCATACGGCTACTTCAGAGAGTTCAGAGTGCTGGGTGCTGTGAGTGCTGTGACTCTCGTTGAGTGAGCGTAAATAAAGTTGCAATTTTATAAAAGTTATAATTGAACGGTAGTGTTACTCCGACCGTCACGAAAAATAGAAAAATTCTGTGAGAAATGGGGCGCCGTTCGATCAACACCACGAAGAGTGGGAAATACATGAATCCCACTGATCAAGCACGTTAGTGATCGAGAACATAACCAAATGTCTAATTGAAGAGCATCTCTTCAAGGAAACACAAACTTCCACGAAAGGCTGTATTTAATTGTCTTTTTTTTTTTTTAATTACAGGAAAGGAAGCGCGCAAGAAAGAATTAAAAAAGAATAAGAAGCAACGACAATTGGTCAGAGCGGCTGTTTTAAAAGGCAAAGATCCAGCGCAGATCATCGAGGAGATGGAGAAGATTGATCAAATGGGTTAGAGATTGCACTTTTAATTTTTAGAAAACACAACGTGACACATCTCCCATATATTCTTCCTTTATTTTTAGAGTATAATGTAATGCAACCGCCACCCTTGAATGAGAAAGTACTGAAAGACAAACGAAAGAAACTTAAGGAAACTTTAGACCGTGTCTTAAAAATGTATGTAAGTATATAAATAATAGAATAATAAATTTTCTTCAATAAAGTATTGGTAAGCCTTATGGGGACATTGAAAGTAGATTTTATCTGTGGTATAATCTATATACTACTGCCTTACTTTTTAGGCGAAAGATGATCAAGAAAAATGGGCGGAACTGAAAGAGCAATTGATACAGTATGAGCGTAGAAGGATAGACTTGGTTTCCTATTTCGAAGCTGTGCGACATGCGCAACAAGTGCAAGTTGACGAAATTCCGTTGCCATCGGCTGCCAATGACATATCCAGGATGTATCCAGGCAAGCGTAATTTAATATTATTTGAAAAACTGAAAAATATACCTACGCGACTAAATTCAGGTTTATATATGTATAGTTATGTAATACAGTTTTACTTGATAATATTTAATGCAAATCTGTCTCTCTACAGGTTCTTTAACATCACAGATTCCGTTGCCAGATATGCCACAGCCGCCTGCACATATGTATCCACCTCATCCTCATTATATATCGCCACATCATACTATAATGAATATTCCTGTACCGCCAAGTATCTTAAAGAAGACGAGTGCGTATGCAACTTCGCCGTCTGTACCTACATTGGCACCCAATAAGGAGCCGCCTGGTGTACCACCTTTTCCACCTCCGGAACTGTCAAGCGACGACGAAGATACGGTTGAGAATGTATGTTGAGACTCGACGATCGTTCTTCTGTTTTGCTATGAAAGAAAAGTAATTTTAATATTTGTGAAATTAACAGGCGAAAGATCCACCAGCGAAATCAAGAACGATACGATTCGCCGATGACAAGGAGGACAATAAGCAGGAGTCGGAGAACAAGGAGAAAGACGGAGAAAAGGAGAAAGAGAAGGACCGGGACATAGCAAAGGTCAAACCGACCACGTTGCAGCAAAAAATGTTAGCAATGGCCGGGCAAGACATCGATCAGTTTATGCGAGAGATGGAGGTCGTCCATAAGAAGAGGGAGACCGAGCGTGCTCAAGATCTGAACGCGCGATTGTCGCTGCTCGAGACGGAAAACGAATCCAATGCTAAATCTAGCGGTAACAAATCCGGCAGTAATAAGTCTAGCAATAATAAAGGAGAGGACGAAGAGATAGAACCGCCTGGGGCGTCGGAGCATCTCTCTGGCCACGGGCAACACACGTCTCATCCCCATACTCAGCACACGCAACAACTTGGCGCGATGCCACCGATGGGCATGCCGCCTCCACCTCTGCTTTACAGGCCACCCCCGCCGCCGTTGCATCTTAGAATGCCACCGCCGCCGCCACCTCGTATCGGACTCCGATTACCACCTGGTGACATATTAAGATATTTTCTTACATTTTCTTGAACTTTTTTCGACTTTAAAGTCTGTAATTTTTAATAGAAATTCAACTTATAAATTTAAATTTTGGTCGTGATATGTTTTATACACACGCAAAGAGATAGTATAAAGATACGAAATAATCGTTTTGTAGGACCGCCACCTGGAATGCCGAGAATATTGAGACCCGGACCTCCAAGTATACCTAGAATGCCACCGCCGCAAATGCAGATGTCGAACATGTCGAATATACCAAATCCTCAGATACAACAAACGCAATCTGGAACAACTGCGCAGCCCAAAACACCGAATGTTCTTTCCGCTGCGCCGCAATTGATCAACAGAAAGGACAAGGATGGAAAAAGTACCACCACTATCGAAGCAAAACCACAAATCAGGAATCTGGCTGCTGACGTTACTAGATTTTTACCGACGTCGCTGCGCGTGAAGAGAGACGATAAAAAGAAATCTAGCAATGTCTCCAGGATTACGGAAAGGCTACCAGAAGCGCAGCCGCTTAGAACAACGCAGCCTAAGACGAAAGATGACGCATATATGCAATTTATGCAAGAAATGGAAGGATTACTCTGAATCTTAAAAAAAAAGTGTATGCTTTACTTAATTGGAATCAATATATGAATTTTATACAATGTACAATGTACATGATATTTCTGTTATTTAGTGTCATTTGGAGATAATGTTTCTATATCTTTAAGTATATAATGAAAATAAGACACTCGTGCAGAAAAAAGATTAAAGAGCTTAGGAAAATAACATTAAATTATTAGAATCACATTTATAAACGATTAATATTAATGCATTAATGTTTTATTAATGTTAATTTATATTAATAATTAACATTAATATGTCACATTTTATTTGACATGTCTTTTAAATTTATTTCTCTTGACAAAGATGCAAAAATCTTTATAATTTAGCCTATAAATAAATGTATATATAATAATTACCCCTCTTAAGCAAGACTTTTTTCAATGTTGAAGAAAAGTGCAACGAACATTTTAAACATGCCTCTATTGTTGTTCTTTATATAATATGAAGAATAAATTCTGAATTATAATAAATCGCATGTTAAAGTATGTATAAACAATATTTTCAATCCTTTGTGAAATATTATTTATATGTATGATCAAGCTCGATTACATCAATTCTGTCTCGGTTTAGGGGAGGTTTATGGAGAGGATTTTAGACTAATTGTAAGCATGAAAACTCATATATAATAAAACATTCATAGAAATTTCTAAGCTAAATTAAAACTAGATTATAAAATTAGCACTTGATAAATTAAAAATCGAAACACAAATCTAATAAACGTGGCTCGCTAAAAATCTAAATATTAAATTACACGTCTGTTCACATTTCCAAATTGAAAGTCAGTTAGAAAATGATTTTTGTCGTGGTATTTTGTGTAATTACTTAATGAGGTAATAACAACTGCACATTGCGCAAGTCGCAAGTTGATTGCAACCCCGCGTAACAATACGATAATTAATCCGAAGCCTCAAAGATGTGTCGTTCGTACTCGTATGTGCCGCGCGCGACAAGAAATCAATATGGTGGATTCGTTGCTTCCGACATTCTAAAAGACCGGCGTCATTTCCCCTTCTACATCCCCACTATTTCCCACTACATCGGAGTATCGGACATCCTATTGCACCTACATGAAACGCGGTGTCGAGTACGGCGAATTTGAAGTGCTCTAAAATTATCCACATACGTAAGAATAACATCGTCAGACGGCTGGCCGCACGAGTTAAACGCACTCATTTGTGGCCCTGCTTTCCTCGCAGCCGATTTTGTTTCTCACAACACCAACTGAACGAAGTTTTTACTCGAGGGCGATCGGCGTAGCTATTATCGCCCGAACATGTACACACGGAGCAGAGGGCAAAACCAGAGCTACGGTAACGGTATGATATATATATATATATATATTTTTTTTTTTTTTGCCATAGAACTGCCAGAAAACTCTGCTCCCACATACCCATCGTATATCGCATCTCGCATCGCGTCAACGCTAATGTGATAAGCGAAAGTGATTTCTCCCGAGGGGGAAAAAGAAATCAATAACCGCGTACGCGCCGGTCTCTAGTGCGAAATGGCGGTCCTCCGTGAGCCTCACCGTTAGAGCCCTCTCGCCGAGAACATGGCGCGACGTCGACTGGCCGCGGTTCCGTTTCACTCATCATGTACATGATGTGCCATTTTTTTTTTTATTCTTCAATATTCGGTAAACAACCAGGATAAGATGATACGTCATGCGCATCGTGTGTGAAACGAGACGCGGCCACTGTTTACAATTCACGACGACACGATCGTTGCAATCTTATGCTAAATGACCATGCAATTTTTCGAGCGCGCCCGGTTGACACTTGCTGACTGAACAGGAAGCTTTTCTCTCCTCTCACCGAGAAAACTGGAGTGCGTTCCGTTTTGTGTTATACGTATATGTATTATTTTATCCATTGAATGTTTAACAAAAATAAAATATGATACATCATGCATGAAACGGCGTGCATGAACAAAATTCTTGCGATTCACCGTGAAATTATTTGTAGTATATTGTAATGTATTAATAAGTAATTCTCGATATTGCAGGACGGAATTCAAACAATTCCCAAAGCCAAGGATCTTACACAATGCCTGTAAGTTTTCTCTTTTTTTCTTCTTTTTTACCTATATAATAATGTTGCGATTATATTTACAATATATAGTCATACAATTATACAGATAAGTAAAAATAGACAAGTTAATGTAAGCCAAATATGATGATTCTGGAATCGTTTTATTGTGTAAGCATAGTTGCTTTCGAGAAAAAAACATAGGAATAGTTATTTTGATATTACCACATTTATAAAATTATTTTTAGTTATATATTGGGATGAAAGCTTAAATAAGTGCTTTAAGAATTCTTGAAAGAAAGATTTAAAAGTATTATACATATCAACTTTAGGTTTTATTACACAATTAACTCTTAGGTATAGATATGTTGCATATAGATAATGCAAGATATATAAAGACGTTATATGTCTGATTCAAATATTTCCATCCCAGTGAAGTCTTAAAGAATTAAACTCTTTCCATACCGGCATACCTATTTTATTATTATACAATTGCTATATGCAGTGATGTAATACATATGAATCGTATGATATATATTCATTAAAATTTAATCCAATTGATAAACTATCTTCATATTTTTCTTATGTAAAAAAATAGATTTTCAAGTTTATTATATTAAAATATAATTAATAATACTCTTTTCACAAAACTAGATCTATACTTAAGGGTTAAATTACTTAATTTTTTATATAAATTTTATTTGAAAAATTTTTATTGCATTTTTTTAGACAAAAATTAAGTTAAAATTAGGTTCAGTCGAATTAAATTTAATCTAATTCGAGAAATGTTAATAAAGAGCCGACCCTGAATGGATAATGTGTATAAATTATACATATTACAACAATAAGAACGTTATATAATACAAATACAAGTAGACCCACCTTTGTTTTCAGTCCTCTTCAGAGGAAAATTTAAATGTTTTAGTTTAATCCTTGACTTTTGTATTTAAAGTATCTTACCAAATGCTTAAAATAACGATTGACTATTTTATCTTTGGACAACGCTTTATGTTTTACTCTTGATGACGATTTTATACTGATTCTATACTGCACATTACTTCTTTTTCTCTTCACAGTTTTATCAGAAATTTTGAACGATGTTATTCTAACTTGTTAATTTTATACTGAAAAGTACCCAAAATGAGAGTCTTCAAAACATCTACCTATGTATTAACGTTTTTATCGTAATAATATATGTATGTACGTAAGGACGAAGCGGGTATATAACCGAATTCAATGTAATTCAACGATGTAAACATGTAATCGATCAGCGGTTAACTTTCGAGGAATTCGGCAGTCGATCCCGAGTCGCAAGGGCTTCGCAACGATTCGGTATTCCCGAATTTCCGCATTAGTATCTCATTATGTGACTTAAGTTAAAGTTAAAGGTGAAATTAAATAAAATCTTACCGCACAACTTAAAAATTTGACCGTATTAACTTTCACTTCAGGATATAAGTCATAGAAAAGAAGAAGAAAAAGATTCCGAGCCGTTGACCAGATAAAATGTATAAACGTACATATAATATTGACGACCGAGTGATTATTCGAATATAACGGTTTTCTTCCGATATCCTGAGTGTCTTACACATATAATTTATACACATTATCCATCTAGTCTATTTATTGGCTTTCTTCAACTTAGATTAATTAATAATTACAAAACTTAAATTACCCATACATTATTAAATATGTTTTATTTATTTATGTGTATAATTGATAAAATATTTACTAGTTCTTACTTTATAAAAACAAAGAATATTTCAATCCCAATATTATTGCAATTCAATTCAGATAAATATGGAAAGCAAATGTTAATTTTAAAAAATTATTAAAAAGTTAAATTTAAAAATAAATAGCATTTACATTCATTTATTTATCATTTTTGTTAATATCTATTATTTTTAGAATGTACACACTTTAAAAAGATGTAATTTTTATACAACAAAAGTTATCCAACTATAAATTCATTTATATCCAAATAATTGAAATTTAATGAAATTTATTAAATTTAACTTGTTTCAAAAAATAAAAATTAAATATATTATATATTCTACCAAATGATTCTAATTCAATAAATTTAGTGTGTTATACAATAATAAGCATTTGTTACAACATAAATAACAAATATTTTTGATTATTGAAATTTAAAATATTGGTTGCGCGTAAAAATACAATAACAAGCTTGTTTTTATACATAATTCAAATTCCATATGCTGTCGACGAGATTTTTACTTGCATGTACTAATTAGTGGTCCCTACTGTCCCCCCTTCCCTGCAACGCAGGTACTAGTAGCTATACAACAATACCGAGGAGGTGCATTCGACCAAAGACTAGGTCGTCGGTTACCCACATAGCATACCCTACCGTAGGCCGTTTTCTTGGTAATTCGTGCTAAAACTCGTGCCTAAGCAAATTTCATTTTCATAGAAATGCTGCATTATTATAAGCATTCTACTTTCTGCATTAAGTGTTCGACACTTTATTTAAATTGAATATATATAAGAGATCACATAGATCTCTCAATTTACAATGTTTACATCAAGGTAATCACAACGTAATTTTATAGCGTAATAGAATTTAATATTTAACTGATATCTTTTGACTTTTTAACATGTCCAATTTGAATAAAAAATTACAATTTTTAATTTTCTTTTCTATAAAAATCTATTATGTAAAAAAATATCATTTATTAATAGTATCTTTTTAATACTACTAGCTCAGTCATGAGTAAGGAGACGTTGGCCACAGTAAAGGTAACATGGTTGGTATGAGCTATGGGGGTATCGTTTAATTATTCTAACATACGATACTAGACCTTGGTGGGGTAGCACAACCGTAGAGGTTCCTTGTGTAGCGGCGGCCCACCCTATGTTTTACAGTATAATACACAAGGAAGTTACCAAGCATCGCAATCTACGTCCAATCAACAAAGCAATTTTAAACAAGACAACGTACAAAACTCACAAGGATTCAAATCACAGCAGCAACAGCAGCAACAACAACAACAACAAGGGACGCAAATGTCACCAGCTGCATCAGCACGGGCTGTACCAACTGTAGCACCTACGCAACAACTAAAGCAACTTCAAAAGCCTCAACAACAATTACAGCAGCAACAAGGACAGCAACAAAAGTTACAGCAGCAGCAGCAACAATCGTCGCCGCAGCAGCAAATAAATCAACAAGCTGTGCAACAACAGCTACAGCAGCAGTCACAGCAGCAACAACAGGCAGTAAATGCACCTCCATTGCCGCCACGATTGAAGCCGATCTTAAAGCAGAGTACAGCAAGTGCACAGTCGGTTATTGCACAAACTCCTCCTGTGGCTCCTCAAATTTCTTCTGTGCCTCCTACAATATTTGCTCCAAGTTCATCCAATAATAATTCTGATTCGGATAATAATGTAAAGCTTGAGAACATGGATGTTGAAGGGCAAGACGGCCAACCGAGATGGCGCAGAAAGCTACCTGGATGTAAGTATTTCCAAATTAAATAGAGATTATAGAAATGTACTATTTTATACATCTGTAATCTATTTAGAATTATAATTTGAATATTTAGAACCATTTTTGCGGATAATATAAAAATGTATAATAAGAATATATAATCACATGTAATCATATGTAATACTTTCAGCACTAATTTTGATAATCTTTTTGATATTATTACATATACATAGATTTTCAATTGTAGTAGAATCATAATGTTAAAAGAAAATCTTATACAAAGGATAAATAAATTAAAGAATTTGTGATTAAAACAATAAAAATTGCAGCAATATTTATTGTATCGTAATATAAAATTCAACCTTTTTCTTTTTATGATGACATTTCACTGCGCAAATTTGAAGATTCAGGAGCATTGAATGTTCTTATCTCAATTATATATTATTATTGGGCATAGACTCTCCTGCAATCAATGTGAATTTTTTTACTGATATGTAAATTAAATTCTAATTATTCACATGATGTTATATATACATTACTGATATAATTATTTTTGTAGTTAAAGTAAATAAAAGATTAAAGCGTCTTCGTATGAACCAACGTCTAAGGAAAACTTTACAACCCAAAAATGCAATCATGGTACTAAATGAAATGAAAGCTGGAGTCCAATTCACATTCCCTGAAACACAAGGACCTATGCCGAACTCACTTTATCTCGTTAATGCTGAAGTAATTATTTTATTGCTTTAATTAAAATTTTATTCTTGTA